GTTATCTGCTCCAGGATGGTGGTGTTAAAGTACTGGAGAGCACCCATCTCCCCGCAGGAGCTAAGCAAAAGCAGGGAGCGCCAAGAAAGTACACTGAGGCGGTCAAGACTACGTCTCCACCTGGCCAAAGATTAGGATCGTGGTGTGCATTCCACCGGTCAGCAACTCGCAGCACAGATGAGTGCGACATAATGATAAGGGCTAGGAGCGTTCACTCTGGAGTATCCCGGGTAACACAGCAGCGTGATGCGGGTCGTTACCAGGATAAGAAGTCGGGGGAAGGCCAGCGCCTGTCAAAAGACGGGGAAGGATAGGTCCATTAGAGCCTCCTTTCCACAACACTTCTGTGGCAGCCTCATTAGTAGCGGCGCTAAGTAAAGTGGAAGTGTTGTCCGTACGAGTGAGAGTGAATGATATCAGATTGGCTCTGGATATTGATACGGGTGCATGCGCAATGTTTTGGCCTTGACATCCTATCAGGAGTTACAACGTAGATTCCCTCACCATGATTTCCTATGGAGACCTACTGACGCCGATCTCGAAAGAGTATCCGGCACGCAGCTAAGTATTGACGGAATGGTGACGTTACCACTTAGATTTTCAAGATGTGGTACTCCCTTCTATGCGGACTTTTATGAGGTTCAGCAATTTAATTTGTCAGCTGACGGATTAATTGGTCTCCCAACACTCAGAACGAATAGTATGGATGTTCGTCCACGTAATAATGCTATTATGTTTAGAGGTGTTTCCTACAAAGCTATGCGTTATTCTGCACCATTGGTCTCCGCAAGGTCAAAAGTGTTGTCCACCATTCCCACTCGGAGGAAAGCGGATAATGTGTCAGAGCAAGCCGGAGACTTTAAACCCTCACTTTCCCAGCGTGATTATAGCAGCAAGGGTTGGAAGATTGTACCTGCAATTTTGAAGAATACTCTCCACTATCAGGATGAGGAATTCACCAAGGCCACTGTGGAATTACCTGACGTGTATATGGGGACCGATGTTGTATGTCTCCCGGAAACGTGCAAGGTAAAGGGTTTGTCGTGAGAGTCGACGTTAAGCACAATACGACCTGGTGGTTTGACAGACGTTCAAGTTCTGAACAGAACAGACGTTCAGAAAATATTGAAGAAAGGATGTTATTTGTGTGATTTTCTGGTACATCACAACAATGTCGAATTACAGCCTACGCAATTCCCAATTGATAGTATTGTGTCTCAATCCCAACAGATTAGGCAAGAGAGAATAGATCAAATAGCGCCACATGTTAAGGTGATGGATCATCCTCAGGGCAAGACACGCCTTTTGGAGCTGCTTGCTGACTACAGAAATATTGTAGCCTTGCCAGGGGAAAAGCTAGGACAGACAGATTTAACATCCTATCACATATTAAAGGAGGGCACAAATCCTATCTATGTACCAGCTTACAGACTACCACATAGCCAGCGGGCAGTAATTCAGGATATGATACAAGATATGTTGGATGAGAATGTTGTTAAGCATTCTAAGTCCCCTTTTAATAGCCCCTTATTCCTCTTCCCAAAGAAGGATGGTGGTTGGCGCCCAGTTATTGATTTCAGGCGCGTTAATGAATGTATGATCCTAGATATGTATCCTATACCTATCTTGAGTGATATATTGCAGTCCTTAGGTAAGGATAATGCTGTATTTTGCAACTTAGATTTGCTTAGTGGGTATTGGCAGGAACCACTCGATGAGAAATCACGGGAGATCACGGCATTTAGCACTCCCCTGGGCCACTTTGAGTTTCTACGGATGCCTTTTGGTCTCAGGAATGCCCTGTTTGCCGGATTGATTGGTAACACAGTCTGCGCTTATTTGGATGATCTAATAGTAGTCGTAAGGATGTCGATACCCATCTGATTAAACTGCGTGAAGTGTTAGAAAAACTTTCCACAGCAGGTCTTAAGATTTAACTTTCAATATGTGAGTTTTTAAAATCCAGAATCCATTGTCTTGGTCATGTAGTTGACGGTGAAGGCATTCATAAAGTGGATGATAAAGTGAAAGCTGTATCTCAGTTCCCACGTTCTACATCGGCTGTTCAAATACCAGAGTAAGTAACAAGATCACTAGAATACAAAATGTTGTAACCTCTAAACCAAGGTGAAGATATAAGTGCCTTTGGCAGTATGTTCCTCAAGCAGATGAGAACAAAATCAAATGTAAAGTGTGTGGTCGGACATACGTCCACAAACTCGAACACTAAGTCCTCGACTGTGTAAAGATAGAACCTTTTGGGGACAGGTCCAAGCACACTGTGTATGAAATGGCACAACACTTCATCTCTAATGGCAAGATAGCCGACATATTAAGTTTGTATCCACTTTTTTGCACTTAGTAGCTATATCAGCTCCCATGTATAAAAAACAAACACACAATGCGCTTGAATACCTCTCACGCAGATGTGAGCCCCCCAGGCTCCGTTGTGGGTCGTTTGACCTGTGCCCGGGTGGGCTAATTCCCTTAAAAAAAAAGAAAAAAAAGGCATATTACTCTGCATTATCTTTATTATATATGAACAAGAAGAAAAAATACCATAGGTTGTAGTTACGAAAGTATGAATGGAAATAAACACTTCCAAACCAGCCAGTGACTCCACACTACCTTTAGAGCGCTTGTGTGTGTGTGTGTGTGTGTGTGTTCCAGACCATGATGCTTCCTATCATTTGCTTAACTATATGAAAAATCGTGTTTAATTTAACTACCGTATATCTCGCCCTATAAGACGGAATTTGAACCTTAAGAAAATCAGCCCAAAATTAGGGGTCGTCTTAAGTACCGGGTATAGAATTTTTACCTCTTAAATAATTGTGGTTTAGCCTGTCAAGAGTGGTGATGGAAAACATAGTAAACCACTCACAAGGTCCTACCACTAATTATTTTTTACTGAAACTTGCGTTTGGGAAGCTGGATTAAAAATAAGATTACCGGTATATTAAAATAATAAAAATGTATTATAAACCTGTCTAACATACCGTAAAGGAACAATAAACCCAGGTAATACCCCAGAGTTTGACCCTTAATGATCACCATAAATGTATCAGGCCAACTTCACCTACCAAGTATAATGGTAGCCTCCCTTTGTCGGGAAACAAGTTTATAAATTAAAGAAATTACTTGCAGTGTGTTTAATATATTACAGTATATTATAAATAAATAAATAAATAAACAAATAAATCGGTAAATCCATTTCAAGTAAATGGAAAAAGTTTACTTGACACCGACATTACAGTAGTTCCAGTTAAATAGCAGTCGCTTAAGTGACGTCACTAGTGTTTACACTACACCAGCGGGTAACATTTGATGACATTACTTGAAGTGAATTGGCCTTATTTTAAATATCCATCCATAAATAAATACAAAAATTAAAAAATAATCAAAAGTGAGAAACAATATACTTGCAGTGTGTTTAATACAATATATTATAAATAAATAAAAAAACAAATAAATCGGTAATTATATTTCAAGTAAATGGAAAATAAACAAACAAAAGTTATTTAACAATACGCTTCCCTCTGACAGAGGGTAAAAGGGGGATATAAGAAGGCTATTTATAGCCAGTCTTTGTGTTCGTAATGCACTATAAATAATTCATTTAAAATTAATTTTTTTACATAGAATATTCAGTACATGACTGCCATGAAGCTTAAGGTTACAGAACACACACACACACACACACACACACACACAGTGTAACTTTGGGTGACGCGTTGTCTGACTTGAGGTGACTTTGAGCGAACCATACACTTGATATTACAATTTATGTATCCTTCCTGTCCATGATTTACAATAATAACTGTAGGGTAAAAGTTACAATATTATACTAATAACACTGTCATGTATTGATACTATGACTAGTTATCAAGATACAGAGCACGATGAACATAACATGATAATGATAGTAAAGCCTGGAAGGGTTCATATCATAACTTGTTGTTCGTGAGAATGTTGCTCCGTGAGAGTTACCGTGGACCTCCATGTGCCCAGGTGGGATGGTCTAAGTATTACACTATAAGTGTGTCAAATGAGGAGTGACTGATCCACATGTAATTTAAGGTTTTTGAAATATGTAGTTAAATTAAACACGATTTTTCATATAGTTATGCCAATGATGGGAAGCATCGTGGTCTGGCACACACACACACACACACACACAAGCGCTGTAAACGTTGTGTGGAGTCACTGGCTGGTTTGGAAGTATCTATTTCCATTCATAATTTCGTAACTACAACCTATGGTATTTTTTCTTCGTGTTCATATATAATGAAGATAATGCAGAGTATAAAACGCCATATACAATACTTATGCATAATGTCATCTATCCAGCCGTACTATGACTGTGTGTGTTCGTGTGTGTGTTGCCTCGTAATAGTTATTGTGGGCCCCTGTCCAGAAAGGACACTGTTCTAACCTCCAGCACCCACCCAGGTGGGCTAGAGATTACGGTTTCGACTGTACCTTCCCGACCTCAACTTGCTTCACATTGGGAAAATATTATTACTGAAGACGTAGACGACGTATATTATTGTGCATATAAAAATATGGTTATTATCACTCCGCTATTTCTAAAAACAATAATATATTAGCTGATCCAATGAATCTAAAACACACACACATAAGAACATAAGAACATAAGAATGGAGGAAACACATTATATCTCAACGACTTTACCAACATCGTCATATATGGCAGAATCACACGGCTTTACTCCTTTACGAAAATATATTTCAAAGAAATTCCTTTGAAAACTTCCTTCTTGATGAAGCATCAGGACTACTGTTGTCTACTCTGTGTTTGCTGCCTACAATCATTTTACCAAATTAAATCTTTTCGTCGTCGTTATTAATCTTTAACACACACTTCATCTTATTAAGGGTTTTTCCCCTGTATAAATTTCGTGGGAAACACTTGCAAGTGAACTGTGAGTCACAGTTAGCCTGCGGCAATGGATATATAAGCGAGTAAGAACGGGGAAGCCTTCACTCAGGGTTTAGACGCCAGTTGTCCTACAGACGCTGCCTTCAACTGTATCACCTCACTCAACTGTCTTACCAGCCACAAACAGGTATATATATTACCCTAACCTATTAGTTGTGTTGACGTTTTACCTTTTACGGATGCTTCTTGTTAGACGAGACTGTTAGATGTTAATGGAAGTGACAGTGTTTTAATGAAGCGATGGTTGGAGAGTCATGGGCACACTGGTGTCTTCCCAGCCAGGACCGCTCACCAACCCTGTGGACAGTACGAGCCTCCTCTCCACTGCTGTTTGTCTTCTTATGTGATAATTGATTTTAATCATAAATGAATCTTTATGTAAGTGTTCATGGGTAGTAGAGCTGGAAAAGTATTATTTAGAAGTAGGAAATTTAAATTAGAAACGTGTGGGTGTGTGTGTGCGTGTGTTTGTGTGTGTGTTGTCCTGGATACTTGTACTAGGAATATTCGTGTACCTGTTTTTCAGTTTTGAAGCAACATATCCTTGTATATATTCTTCGTAATAACTAAACAAAAGATGCAGGTGAAGGTTTACTGTAAGTGGAGTGAGCAATTTATCTACCTGGACACAGTGAGCTGATTCATATACTTTATCTACCTGGACACAGTGAGCCGACTCATATACTTTATCTACCTGGTCACAGTGTGACGGGCCGAGTTCTCTCTGTTTATAATTTACCATCCAGATATTCTTTTCTGTTATTATTCTTCAATTCCTTATCTATAAGTATACTTTATATTCTTATACAAGTAATTCTCTTTTCAGTTATGTATGTTCTCTATATTAAACTTTCATGGTGTATTTATTTAATAATTTCTATGCTGTGTCGTTAGTTCCACAATGTACATACATGTCTTATCTTTCTTTTCTTGTACTTTCCAAGTCTTTCATTTTTTTCATATATATTACATTTACTCAGTTTCAATGTTCTTACCTTTCTGAAGTATACTCTGTTTTAAGTCTATTCTTATACATGAGTTAGTCTGTGGAACCATGTTATTCTTAGTACAACACTTTTTATACCTACAAAGGGTAGCTGCCACCACCCAGACTTTTCATTATATTACACAACTCAAGGAAAGTTTTTGGGTTGTGTGGTAGATGTATAGGCACGTGAGTAAGTATTATTTTCTGGGAACCAATGTTTAGAAGGAGTAGAGTGGTGATGCGAGTAGATTACTAATTCAATATTTATTAACACATGGAGTGGATAAGATGCATCTTAGATTCACTCAGACCAAACAGAACCGCAATTAACTTATTAAGTCATCAAACACTTCAAGAACTTATTACCTCATTAAACACCTCTAAATACTTATTACTTCATTACACAATTGTGGTATTATTACCTTGACAAATGAGATTCCGTAATTATTATTCACAAGATATCACTGGACCCTCGTGTCTTACTTTAACAAGTAACAAATTACCTCTTCAATTCTTGGTTAGAACGTTATACTCTCAGGTTATTCTTTCATGGTTATTACAGACGAATACATAACACACTGGGCAACTCCACAATTATAGTAACATACAATACCTCCTGTTAGTTCGCAAGGAACAACCTGGTATCTTGAACTCTCATTCAGTGGTTCAATACCTAACCTGGGATGACTATATTTCTGCTAGTCACCCCCAAGCATGGATATTAATACGGCTCCATACATATAACCAAGAACAGTAGATAGACCATGATCATACGACGGAGTCAGTGGGCCAAAGTTGTTTACAGGCTCGCTCGCGAGCTCGGAGCGCCTGGCCAGGGAAAGGTTGACTGTGGCGGCGGGCCGTGGCGTCTGCCAAGGAATCTCGCCCTGGGATTCTAATCTCGCCATCTTAAGACATCCTTCGAGAGACATCGTGCCCATAGGCGGCTCCCGAACCTCAGGAGTCTTGCTAACCCCCACAACAGCGTCTGGAGACGTGGAGAAGAAATCACAGAGAGGGTGAATATTTAACTTCACTATACAAAACATACGTCTGGCACCGGTCCAGACTATTGTTAGATCTCTACTTTACTCTACTCAATTGGCACGGAAGTTACCATGTTAAAACATGAACACTGATATTCACAAAATTGATTAAGTTAAACTGAATTAATATGGCGGCGTGGAACACACGTGAACATACTTGGAGAAGTGGAGAAGAAATCACAGAGGGAGTGATTTCCCCTCGCTCGCCGGCATATATACTGGCCTGAGGGCATATCCCTACTAGAAAGACTAATTTTACTAACAATAGGCCCTCTATTCAAAGTGATCCTTGGACACCTAGCTATGACCGTCAGTGTCACAGATCAGGCTAATTTTCTACATCTATATTTATGATTTAATCAGAGATTGAATTTCTCAGTAAAGAGGTGAAATGGAGTTATATATGCGTTCACAACTCTATTGGCCTGACCGCAAACCACATCCCAGGTCAAACGGCCGTTAAGTCTTGTTGAATTTTGAGTTTGACAGGAACTGTTCAGGAGATTAAATAAACAACTGACATTAACTAAACTATAAACATCAGATTCTCTGATGTCGGGGCGACAAAATAATATAACTTCAGTAGCGATCAGAAACTCATGGGTATCCCCATGGACGACATAAAATACGCCACTCTAGCTGGCAAACTCGACTTGACACATCTTACTTGACACATCTTACTAGCAATAAGGACAGTTGAAGCGTTCAACACCACTCACAATGGATCTTGACTGTTCCAACTGTAAACCGACATATCTAAGTAGACTCAAAACAAGGGTGTTCTCTCTCACATTCAAATTCATTTTATAGAGAGGTTGGTTTCAGTAAGTCAGAGAAAATGGGATAACGGAGGACTGAGGTGTCTTGAAGTGATGAGAAAACGGACTCCTCAGATGGAGGACTCAAAATAAAAGCAGAGTTACATGTTTTGTGGGCTATTGAGCGTATTATGAATCATTTGATTTTGGCGCTAACTGACGTGTATGACCATGGTCGTTATAACAGTGAGCTGACTCATATACTTTATCTACCTGGACACAGTGAGCTGACTCATATACTTATCTACCTGGACACAGTGAGCTAACTCATATACTTTATCTTCCTGGACACAATGATCTGACTCATATACTTTATATACCTGGACACAGTGAGCTGACTCATATACTTTACATACCTGGACACAATGAGCTAACTCATATACTTTATCTACCTGGACTTATGTAATTTATCTACCTGGACGCAATGAGTTGATGCGTATACTTTATCTACCTGGACACACTGAACTGACTCATATACATTATCTACCTGGACACAGTGAGGGTGATGGCTGGCTACCTGGCCTGCCTGACGTGGATGTTCCTGCTGGCTCTCTGTTGCACACCTACCCTTGCTCACTCTGGTAGGTACTGCGCTAACCACCATTTCCTGTTTTTTCTTCTTGTTTTAAGAAATATCATTTACTATTAACTTGAAATATTTATATACCTGAATTAGTTAATAAGATAAAGGCATGCATTAAGGCGACGAGGAAGATTCTGTTATGTGTACTAGTATCTGGACCATGTATTGGTGCTGAAAGTCATCTCTTCACTCTCTTCCTGCACAGGGAACCACGGGTTGGTAGGTGAGGGTGGCAACAGGCAAACTCGTGCGGCTACCACAGCGGGTGGAAACTACCCCGACCGACCAGGAGCGGTAAGAGCAATAGTTTGTCTTTCTCCCAATTATCATTATATATAATTTATATATAATCCTTGAAATATATTAACTTTTTCGATTGTTTTTCTCATTATCATTTAAATTGTTCTTCAAAGTCTTTCCACAAGATATTCTTCTGTTTTTCTCATCACTAAATGAGATGAAGGAAACGCGTAATATCATATCACAAGGTAGACTTAAGTGTATAAATCGTCAGCTTTACACCGAGGTTCACTGTAATAGTGTAGCTTATGTCTGTGAGACTAGACAATGGAAGACCAGCCCAGTTTTATCTCTTACTTTTGTTTCTTATAATAGTTAATGTATTACTAATTATTTTTTATCATTACCACACGGTCTCACCTACAGGGAGTGATAATAAGGACTCGGCCAGGCAACCGTCGCAGGATACCACCAGTGATAAAGGGAATTTCTTTTTTCAGTTCAAGAAATCATACATTTGCATAACCAACAGATGGTGGACAATTGGACAATAAACTCATCCATTCTGACACACTCCTGAAGAAGCCACACAGATGTAGTCAGGCAATATTGATTCAATTGTTTGGATACAAACTTTTCTGGTGCTCAATGCAGACGTGAAGTAAAATAACTTTGAGGGTGTACTCTGCTTCGAAAAATAACATTAGCTTTTTCTTGACTTGACGGATGGAGGAGAAGAAAAATTAGAGATGGAATTAATAGGAGAAGAGCAACAGATTTGGTGTGAAATGGAAAGAGTTACTTCATGGTAGGACCAGCTGAGGGTGAGGGTATAGGAAGAGGAATGGGGGGTGAGGAAGATGGCAGGAAGCAAAGAAGTAGGAAGATGGAAGAGAATATGGGGAGAGGAAGGAGAACAGGAATATAATTCGCGAAGAAAGAAATAAGGAGAAGAGGTTCAAAGGGAAGCAGGCAGAGTGGAGACTGTATAATATAACTATATGACTTCTTTGGAAAATAAATGTGTCTTGTTTCTTATCTGTAAACAAATACTGGAGTACTTACCACAGTCTCATTATCTACTTGATGAATAAAAACAACAATAAGAAAGTACTTTTGTTTTCTTATCATTTCATATTACTTAAAATATTTCTAATTTAAGTAATCAAAATAAATGACTGGGTTAATGAACGCCTCATTTTAATGATGCTGACGATAACATACAGTATATCAATATTTTTTTCTGTTACTTACCTTTTTTATTTTTAAACTTATGGATTTTTGGCCAATTTTGACAAGATACGAATATAAAGCACATCTCATTATATTTAAACGCCCTTGTGTTCACTTTCTGCTAAACTTTCAAACGGAAATTCTCAAAACAAATCTGATAATGTTTAGTCTTTGCTGATCACTGTAATATTTATGGTGTTTTATTATTATTTACTTTTTTATGAATATTGATCACTTCACTTGAATCAGATTAAGGTATACAACATAAAAGATCTGTATTAAGCCACACGGCTCACATCTGTCAAGAAACAAACATTAACGTGTAAAAGACACCAAGCCAGTGGACGTCTGCCAGTCTACTTCTGTTTACAGAAGTAGACGTGATTTTAGTATATTTAGTATATTTTAGTGTATTGAGCCTTTTGGAGACAGAAAGGGCCTTTAAAAATAAAATAAGAATAGCGAGGTTTGGAGGCATATGTCGACGTTGAATTAGAAATTCGCCGCTGCGTAGGAGTTGTGGAGGAGATCTGTTTGACCTTTATATTTCACATGCTTTGAGTTAAGACTGGTATGAGCCAGGTTGGTTTCTGCCTTTTAAGAAAATAGAACTTACTTTAGTACGAAAGGATTTAGCATTTAAAATAATTTTTAATTGGGGATTAACTTGAGCAGATGAGATGCGTTAGATGTAGGAACTACTTAGATAGAGCGTTCTATAAGTAATAAACCTTAATTCAAGTGCATTTGGGTGTAACAGTTTGTGATAGCTTTAGTTGTGTTTGTGAGTTATTTAGTTTTAATTATTTGTGTTCTTGTGGGTGTAGCATTTGTTAATTTGCTGGAGGGTAAAATTTTACTTTATATTCATACTCGTAAAGGTTCTAATAAAGTTGGTTTTGTTGGACTGCTTCAACTCTTTGCGGACGCTGTCAATTTGTTTACTAAAGAACAAACAGTCCCGGTTAAGTCATTTTTTTCTTATTATGCTTCACCTGTGTTTAGGTTGTGTACAGCATTGATTATGTGGTCTGTGATTCCATACGAAATTGGCATAATAAATTTAAATATGGAGGCTCTTTTTTTATGTGTTGTTTAAGGTTCGGGGTTTATTCAACGATGAGAGCTGGCAGTGTTTCTAATTGTAAATATTCTTTGTTCGGAAGATTACGGGCTGTTGCTCAGACTATTTCGTATGAGGTGAGACTTCCTTTGATTTCACTTTCCTTTATGTTTCTACTTGGTGGGTTAAATTTAGAATTTTTTATTTTGTATCAGGAGAGTCTGTGAATTTTATGGATTACATTGCCGTTAGCTTTGGTCTGGTTTGGTTCTTCTTTGACTGAAACAAATCGACATACTTTTGATTTCGCTGAGGGGGAGTCTGTGTTAGTGTCTGGGTTTAATACTGAGTATAGAAGAGGAGGTTTCGGGGTAATTTTTATGGCTGAGTACGACAGAATTTTATTTATAAGTAAATTATTTGCATTGTTGTTTTTAGGAGGATGTCCTTCGAGTCCGGTCTTTTAAGATAAGTTGTTGGGACTAGATTTGCCTTTATTTGGGTTCAGGGAACTCTTCCCCGGCTTCGGTATGATAAATTGATAGGTCCGGCTTGGAAAAGGTTTTTGCTATTATCTCTTATTTATTTGTTCTTTTTTATGGGGATAAAAACATTGTGTTACTGTTTTATGATTTAGTTTATAACTAATTTAGTATATCGAAAGTTAGGTGGTAGTTGAAACGTCTTAGTGTCTTTATTGACGCTTTCAAAGCATCTGCTTTATATTAACTAAACTGTCAGTCAAGGAGTTTATCTCATAATAGTAATAAAAGGGGTTGATGAGGTAGTAAAGGAGGTACACTACAGTTAAGATTTGGCCTGTAATGCATAGGGGTCCTCACCAGGTCAGGCACCGATTAAAGTCAGTAGGATCACAATGGCAATTAAGGATAAAAAAAAAAATTATATATATATATATATATATATATATATATATATATATATATATATATATATATATATATATATATATATATATATATATATATATATATATATATATATATATATATATGCAAGTAAATCACTGTAGGTGCGCGTGATCTAGGTATATGCTGATAACCACAAGGAAAGAAGAAAACACGAAGTTCCCAAGCGCTTTCGTGTAATTCACATCTTCAGGGGTGAGTACAGACTAGAGAGAGTAATACAAATCAAGGTGTATATATACAGAGGAGGGTGAGACCAGGTCCACAATGGTCAGGTATTAGGTAATGACCCTACTAATCTTTAAATAGCACACAACGGTTGGTGGTCAGGTCAGATGGTCAAGTGACCCGGCCTTCTCACCTGATCACAAATCTTCTTAATTACAAAATTGTCCAGCTTGTACATGCCGTTACTCAAATTCATGTTGAATGCTTCGGTATGTTTAATAAGACTAGATTCTATGATGTTCCTACTATCAATTGAATTACATGGTAATATTGAGGAGGCATTATCCCAGTCAATGCAATGCTTGTTATCCCTCAAATGAACAAACAGAGCATTGGATTCCTGGCCTGTCCTAACACTGTATTTGTGTTGTTTAATTCTAGTTGCAAGATCTTTACCTGTCTGGCCTAAGTAAAACATATTACATTCCTTGCAAGGAACTTTATAAATGCAACCAATTGTGTTGTTGGGGGAGTTCTTGATTAACATTTGTTTAACAGTGCATGAGTTTTTAAATGCCACATTGACGTTCCAGGTTTTTAGCTGTGCAGGAATGTGTGAGAAATTTTTGTGAAATGGTAATATTAAGATATTCTTATGGTCATGGGTGGGCTTGGGGTCAGTTCTATAAAAAGTTTTCTTAGTAATGTTTAAGCATTTGTCTATGAAAGATCTAGGGTATTTAAGGTTTGAGCCAATATTATATATATATTTGTATTCCTCATCGATGAATTCCGGACTGCAAATTCTCAAGGCACGTAAAAACATTGTTGAAAATACTGACTGTTTGACTTTATTATGGTGGGCAGAATAATAATGAATGTATGAACACACATTAGTTGGTTTTCTATAAATACTGAACTTAAAAGTGTTACCTATTCTGTGTATCAGACAGTCTAGGAATGGCAATTTACAGTCTTGCTCTAATTCCACAGTGAATTTGATCGAGGCGGCTAAGTTGTTAAGTTGTGGCAGGAAAGCTTTTAGGTCCTCATTACATGGCCAGAGACAAAATACATCATCAACATATCTAAACCAGACTGCTGAGGGTGGTAAAATATTACTTAATAGTTTCTTTTCAAAGAATTCCATATATAGGTTGCTTAATACAGGTGAGAGTGGGTTACCCATTGCCATACCAAATTTTTGAGCATAATATTCCCCATTGAATTCGAATTTGCAATCCTTAATACATAGTTTGATGAGTTCGATGAAGTCGTCTTTCGAGACGGGCAGTGAAATGTTATCCAGGGAATCTATGAGGAACTCTAGTAAATCATCAACTGGGACCTTTGTAAAGAGTGACGTTACATCAAAGCTGACCAGTTTAAAATCATGATTAATGTGTAAGTTATTGAGTTTATCAACCAGATCCATATTATTCTTGATATTGGAGTTAGAAATGTTGCCAACTAGGGGATTTAGTAAAGAAACTAACCATTTAGATAGTTTATAAGAGATTGACCCAACTGAGCTAATGATGGGTCTTGCTGGGTTATTGGGCTTGTGGGTCTTGATTACACCGTACATGTATGGCAGTGGAGGGGACGTTGAAGTAAGATGTTTAATGAGAGTAGCTTTGCCTCTCAATAGGGACTTCAGTTTTTTGTTGAACTGGGTGTTGACAGTGTTGAGAGGATTATTTATAAGTTTAGAATATGTTGTAGTATCACATAAAAGGTCATTCATTTTAGAGATATAGTCATCTTTGTTTAAGATCACTACTGTGTTGGCTTTATCTGCTTTAGTGAATCTTTCTGGACAGTTTGGAACACAAGGCTTGGACATAGATGCATACACAACACCTATACACATGTTCACTTCTTCACTTGTCAAATTACTGAATTTCTCCAAATTGCAAAATGCTCTGGCTATGTCAACACTGTCGACTCCCTTGTTAGAACCATCAAAATTTAAACCATAGCCGAGGGCACACAAGGTATCATTGTCTAGTTGTTTCGAGGAGAGATTCACTACACAGTTGTTATTGGCATCCTTAGTCCAATCACTATTTCTAATAAGGAGTGCCAATTTGTGGTCTATCTTGGCTTGAAGATCAGAACGCTCACGTCTCAGGTTATCAAAACAGTAGTCTAACATGAACTTTTTCCAATAACTCGGTATGGTCATATTAAAAGCGCGCTTTTTTTGTCTTACAATACGGAAGGCTTCATCCACTTCAATTTTCTTTATTTCAAAATGTTTCTTAAGGATGATTTCTTGGAACTCATCAAAGGGGCGGTCAGACATCTTCAGGACACGTTGTGGTAGGATTGATCTAGGCATAACTTTTTCACTGAGGCATGTCTGGAGAAATTTCAAACGTATTTTCAATTTGTGGGCCTTGATCATCGAAGAGGAGTATTCAGTAACGAAAGGAGACAGTCCAGGACAGCTTGTAGAGAGGATGAAGAAGTGGCGCGTGGAATCCATTTATGCAAGTAAATCACTGTAGGTGCGCGTGATCTAGGTATATGCTGATAACCACAAGGAAAGAAGAAAACACGAAGTTCCCAAGCGCTTTCGTGTAATTCACATCTTCAGGGGTGAGTACAGACTAAAGAGAAATACAAAACAAGGTGTATATATACAGAGGAGGGTGAGACCAGGTTCACAATGGTCAGGTATTAGGTAATGACCCTACTAATCTTTAAATAGCA